AATTTGTTTTAATCTACAATCACGATTTACAATAAAAAAAACAAAACAAGTGCGTATCGGTTATTGACGGTTACACATAGTATTCTATTTATGTAGATAAGAGAGACAATAAGAATACCCGAATTTAAAAAAATAACGTTTAAAAAACGTCATACCCTCTCCGTCTTAGGCCCGATGCTCACTTGCGTTTTTTTTTGCCGTTGCGGCACCTTATCTTATATTACATTATATCTATATATCTGATATAATATATACACTTGGGGGACGAGGTGGCCGAGCGGTCTAACGCGTCGGATTCGGCACAGCCGGTCCTGAGTTCGATCCCCGGCCACCGGGCGGCATTTTTCTCCGGGCAGTCACGGTGTCCGGAGAACAAGTGGCGCCATCCCCCACCCGGGCATGGCAGATACCTACGGGTGCCCACTAAAAAATCTGCCAAACCCACACGAGTTCACTCAAAAACAAACAAACCACAGTTCCCTCCCCCACAGTACCACAGGCTAATAACCTTAGTAGTTGAAGCCTTAAAAACCCAAAAAAAAAAAAAAAAAAGATTANGGGTGCCCACTAAAAAATCTGCCAAACTCACACGAGTTCACTCAAAAACAAACAAACCACAGTTCCCTCCCCCACAGTACCACAGGCTAATAACCTTAGTAGTTGAAGCCTTAAAAACCCAAAAAAAAAAAAAAAAAAATTATATACACTCGTACCACATACTAGTAAATTGCCATCACCAGTTTTAATAGTATGCTGTGTTAGATTTGATAATAAAAAGAATAGACCTATTATAAAAGTTGTTGGTAATAACATTATGATATGTGTTATCTCGGTCGGTATTTTACAATATTTTAGTTTTTTTTTTTTTAAGTAACTAGATCATGGATTTGTAGGTATGCTTTATTAGATAATAAGTTGGAAAAAAATGTACCTACCTACACTTTTCTTAAAATTAAAATTTTTTATAAATATTAGGTAGGTACACATTTAATTGATTAGAATTTATTTATTTTGATTTTCTAATATTTAATCAGGTTCTTTCTATTGATTTGACAACACAACCATAATAATATTATATTATGCAACAAATAACAATTATTAGTTTGTAATAATTAAATAAAGATAAAAGTTATTTTTTATGTAATAATTATTATTTTTATTATAATGCGATCATTTTAGATTCTGAGTGAAACGATGAATGTATTGATTTTACAATGATGTGTGTTTTTTGTCTGTGTACACGATAAGTAGTCAAAATAATGCTTCGATTTTCGACTTCAGTATCTTGTTCGATGGGAAAGTGAATATCGTTGGTGCATTGGGGAGGTCAAAATTTAATAAGCGCCGGGAAAAACAACATGAAAATTAAAGAAAAACGGGAATTTTTACGCAAAATCGGTTTTTGAAACTCTAAAACAAATGAACGTATATACATGAAATTTTCACTGGTTGTTTATATTCGCATTTTATAAGCATCTAAAGTACAAATATTGACAAAATACGGAAAAATCACGAAAATTAGAAAATTATTTTGAGTTGAAAATTCGTAAGAATTTTTCTTTTGAAATCTAAGGTTTGAAAATGTAACACATAATTATTTATAAGTTTAATTTGAAATTTAATTTCAAACACTGAAACTTATACCTTTAACAAAAAAAAAATGTCTACAAAAAAGTCAAATTAAATTTTTATGAGTGTTTGAAATTCATATTTTTACGATATTTGATATTCACTCGATTCCTAATGTAACGATTTTCTTATTTTGTTGTAATTAAAAAACAAATTACTGTAGATACTTGAAAATTTCACTAAATGTTTACATTAGCATTTTCTATAAACGATAAAATTTTGAAAATAATTTGAATTTTTTGAGATGTTTACGGCTATTGTCAGTTTTCAATTTTTTTAGTTTTTTTTTCTATAAATACCAATAAAATTTTATTTGTTGGGTAAAAAAGCGTGAAAATATAATGCAAGACTCCTGGTATAATGTTACAATATCAGTTGAAAAATATTAAAAAAAATTTTTTTTATAAGCATTTAAAGTTTGAATTTCGACATAATTTATCAAATTTAAAATTTAAAAACTATTTTGTAGTTGAAAATTTATAAAATGTTCAACTTTTATATCTAAGGATTGAAAATTTAAAACAAGGTTCTACGTAAATAAGTTATATGTATATAAATTACTTTATTCACAATAATATTATCAAATATCTTAGTGATATCATAGGCTGACTGACCGTTTTCGCTCAAAACCTTTTTTCTTATACAATGATATTATATCATTATATTCAAATTTAACACCATCCATTACAGTGACCCACTTGTAATCTACTGTATAGCAGAGCGACATCCACTTACCCACCTTTTTTATTTTATGCATTACATTTTTATAAAATATTAATTAAAGTATACTTACTACAGTTTATTATAATGCGATCATTTTTTCATTTTATGTATTACGTTTTTATTAAATATTAATTAAAGTATACATACTACAGTTTATTATAACGCAATCATTTTTTATTTTATATATTACGTTTTTATTAAATATTAATTAAAGTATACATACTACAGTTTATTATAATGCAATCATTTTTAATTTTATGTATTACATTTTTATAAAATATTAATTAAAGTATACTTACTACAGTTTATTATAATGTGATTTTTATTGCACCTGCCCCGAAAGTTTCGTATTTCTAATAGCGGATGCAGCTTGAGAAAACGACGTTTTCTATCCAGTGGACTTAGAGTAAATCATTTGTTCTGCCAAGCTACTACAGCAATTGAAAAATATAGTGTCCGAAATTTGGTCAAGGTTATGATACAGTATGGAGTTAGCCCTCCAAGTTATAAACGGTGGTTACGTCGGCCAGATGAACTTACAAATTCTGAAAATGCACTTACATTTACTTACAAATAGAGTACATTAACTTACAATGTAATTGGTGGAAATTGAACAAGGTTGGGGGGCAGTGTGAAGTTAGCCCCCCCAAGTTATAAACGGTCATAACGTCGGCCAGATGAACTTACAAATTCTGAAAATGCACTTACATTTACTTACAAATAGAGAACTTTTACTTACAATGTAATTGGTGGAAATTGAACAAAGTTGGGGGGCAGTGTGAAGTTAGCCCCCCAAGTTATAAACGGTCATTACGTCAGTCCAATGAACTTACAAATTCTGAAAATCTACTTACATTTACTTACAAATAGAGAACTTCAACTTACAATTCATCCGGGGAATTTCGGACAAAGTTGGGGGGCAACTGTGAAGTTAGCCCCCCAAGTTAATTTTGACCATAACTTAGCTCCCACGAACTTACAAATTCTGAAAATCAACTTACATTTACTTACAAATAGAGTACTTTAACTTACAATGTGATCGGTGAAAATCAAACAAAGTTGGGGGGCTAACTTCACATACATTGATGTACCTCTGTTCGGTGGGCGAGAGCTTTTTTGAAAAGAACCCGAGGGGCTGCCACTGGTCGTCGACGTGTTGCTCGAGAACGGCGCCTACTGCCACGTTAGATGCGTCGGTGTTGAGGCGTAGGGGGGCGTTCTGTTTGAGGTGCGCGAGTTTCGCGGTGTCGGCGAGTGCTTGGCGGCACGCGTCGAAAGCGGCTCGAGTGTCGTCTGTACATCGCAGCGGTCCGTCGCGATTTTTGATTTGAGACGCAAGGCTGTAAAGGGGCGCTTGAATCTCGGCGGCGTTCGGAATGAATCGATGGTAAAAATTTACTGAGCCCAAAAATCGTTGCAGTTCTTTTTTCGTGTTCGGAAGTGCCCATTCGTGTATCGCGGTAACACGTTCTGCGTTCGGTCGGCACGCGTCTTTGTCGATAACGTGTCCGAGAAACGACATCGTGTCGGTTGCGAAAACGCACTTCGCCGGACTAATTGCGATACCGTATTTTTGAAAAAGGTCGAGGACGGTACGAACGTGCTTGTCGTGTTCGACTTCATCGCGCGAGGCGATTAACACGTCGTCGATGTACGCGAAAACGAAATCCAGTCCGCGTAGTATGTCGTTTATAACTCGTTGAAAAGTTTGTGCGGCGTTGCGTAACCCGAAACACATGACGGGGAATTCGAACAAACCGAACGGTGTTGTGACTGCGGTTTTGTGTACGTCGTCCGGCGCGATCGGGACCTGATGATAAGCACGTACCAAATCGAGCTTCGTGAATATCGTTTTGCCGGTGAGATTTGCCGTGAAGTCGTGTAGGTGCGGCAACGGGTATCGGTCGGCTACCGTGACGGCGTTGAGCCGGCGGTAATCGCCGCATGGTCGAAACGTACCGTCTTTTTTCGGGACCAGTAACAGCGGGCTGGCCCATGAACTCGATGATGGCCTGCAGATGCCTTTCTGCAGCATGAAATCGAATTCCTGACGAGCGATTCGTAGGCGGTCGGGCGGCAGTCGACGTGGTCGGGCAAAAAGTGCTGGGCCGGTAGTATGTAGTTCGTGTACCACGTCGTGTAGGAACTTGGTCGGTACGGGCGATTCGCGCGTGACTTCAGGGTAGTCGAGAAGAATTTCGGTCCACTTTGATGGTCGGGCGACGGCACAAATTGCGGTACTGGGTTAAACGGTAGCGGGCGTGATTTTTACCGAACTATTTATCGAGAGGTCGACAAGGCGATTTCGGCGTATGTCGATGAGCAAACCGTAGTAATGCAGGAAATCGGCTCCGATAATAGGTCGTGAAACGTCGGCCATTTCGAACGTCCAGGCGAACAGTCGTTTGAAACCGAGGTCGAGATGTAGTTGTTTTGGCCCGTAGGTTTTGATTTGTGAGCCGTTTGCGGCTACGAGTCTTATGTCGTTGCTCGTGGTGTGGCCGTTGTTTTGCCGAAAGTTAGTGGGTCGCGGCAGCACCGAAATTTCCGCGCCGGAGTCGATTAAAAATCGACGACCGGTACGGGTGTCGTTGACGAAGAGTCGGTGTTGCTGTCGTGCGGCGAGGTGTTGTTGGAGCACCGCCGCCTCACGGATTTTTCTTTGTCTTCTCCGCGTAAGTGCACGGTTCGCGACAGTTGCGTGCATCCGCGCCGTACTGGTTGTGGTAGTAGCACCAACCAGCCGTTACGAGCTTTCGCGGCTGCGACTGCGAGCGGGAACGATCACGTTGCTGGCGCGTGGGGCGGTCGTTGGTCGTGCGAGCTAGCGCGGCTGCCTGAGACGTCGCCAGGGACGTGACTTTTGTGGTCAGCGCGTGTATCGCGTTCTCTAGCGCGAGCAAACGTGCGTCCTGGTCGGGCGAACTTGCCGGTGTGATCGGGCGCGCGCTGGGGCGCGGCTCGCGTGCGTCGTGGTCCCTCGAGATGGCCGAAATCTCGTTGCTCTGCGACGCTTCCCATACGCGGTCAGCGCGTTCAGCGAGAAAATCGACGGATCCGGTGAGACCGGCGATGACGGTGCGGACGGGTGGCGGCAGCTTGTTCAGCCAGAACGCGAGCAGAGAGCTGTCCGTCATGTCGTCGGGGTAGATCTCTCGCATGTCCCGGAGCAAACGCGATGGGGAGCGATCGCCCATGCCACCTGGTTGAATCATTCGCTGGAAGCGCGTTGCTTGGGGGACGCTGTATGTAGCGATGAGTCGTTGTCGGATCGATTCGTAGGTCGCGTCGGCTCCCAGCAAATCCGCGATCGTGCGGACACCGTCCTCGTCCAAAGCCTCGGGCACGTGATTCACGCGCGACAAATCCGAACGGATTCGCTTGTTCGCGAACATGGCGTCCGCGTGCGTGAACCACTGCGTAGGGGAGTTGTGCCAGAACCCCGGAAGCCTGACGTGTGTGAAAGATGAGACTTCCACGCTAGCATTCGGTGTGGACATGGTCGTTGTCGTCGTGTCGGTGATCGTCGGGGTGCCCAATGTCGCGGCGACAGTGATGGGTGTGTTGGGCATGGTTAGGGCGTCGGATCACGTGGATAAATTCTGGTGGAAAAATGACTTGACGTCGGTCGTACAAGTCGGGTCGAGAATCGTTCTTTCGGCGCACTCGCGGACTGTCGGACTTTCGCGTCGGTATCGGCGGGCGGAATCGTGTACCTCAGAGCGTTACTGGGTAATGGCGTTTCGTCGAAATCGTAGGTCACCAATGTGGTAATGGCGTTTCGTCGAAATCTGAGGTCACCAATGTGGTAATAATGTCGTCGTCGTGTGTGTCGGTGTGCGCGTGAACTTGCGTACCGTTTTCGAATAGAGGTCACCAATGTGGTAATAGTGGCGCTGCCACACTGTCGTGGCCCGAAACGTGGTTCGGGGCGCCGTCTATACCATGGCTAAATAACATGGTATGACAGCAACTACTTACTGCGCATGATGACTACGTCATCCGGTCTCGGTGAAAAGGCGCGAAATCAAATATTGTATTATCATTTATGATAACAGATAAATTCAATTTATCACTTATGAATTATGATAAAAAATAATTAAAATAATAGTTTTTGTAAAATTAATTAATTAATAATTAATAGTTAATTTCTATACTAAATAGATAAACTAATACAGCAAAATAATAACATATTATAAATTATTATTACTATGTGAATTATACTATTTATGTTGCATCATGTTTTAGAACTAGAAGACAAGTATAAAATAATGTTGTTATTTAATTTTTATATTTAAAAACAATATACAATGAAACAATGTACATGTTACACTTGTACTAAAACAATTAAATTCATAACAAAAATTTTCTTATTTTAGTTTTATTTCCAACTGTTGGAGCATTGTCGGCAATATTTTTATTAAGATGATTGAACCTTACAAAAGTTCTGGTTCGGATTAAACAGCTTACCACTTCTTCTGGTAATACATCATTACTTTCTAAAATAACTTTGTTTTTTAATGTTTCCATAACTTTAGGATTTTTATTGAGTGAGGTACCATGCATTTCCTCAAAGTATTTATTCATTACTTTTGCAACTCTCATTAATGTATCCGATGGTGTAATTAAATGGCCTCTTGTTATATGCTGAATCCAGCTGGTTGATAATGAACTATCCAATGACACTGAAGTTTCATTGCCTATATCAGGATATTTATGTATAAATCGCCTGGCTACATAACCAACTACATATTCTAACGCTTCATGCTCCACAGTTCTAATTGTTGCACTCTGGATAATAAGGATAATATAAAGTGTAAGATATATGCATTTATGATTATTTTAGTATGTATAGTACATAGTTTTTTTTTATGGCACCTCTGTTTTAAAAAGTTCTGAAAGATCTATATCTTCCTCTGATACTAAAAAATTATTATCTGCTGCAGAGTAAGATAGTTCTTCGGTGGACATGTGATCGTTGTCTAAAGGCGTTTGAAGAATTTCAGACTCTTTGACAATTGATGCTGATAAACATTCAGTATCGATTAACCGTTCACCTATTGTATCTTCAGTATTCCTGTTCTGTGACAGTGCAATAGAGGCATGTTTACCAAGCAAGTACCATTTTAGACTGTAAGAATCAAAAGGTCCATGTTAAATTATAAATTTATTTATATTTTATTTATCCAATTTTTTAAACATACCAATGTTTAAAATCAAGAGGTGATAAGTGAGTATTTGCACCGGACATAGCTTTTAAATAGCTGAAAAGATTTTCAAGAATATCTTGATTCAAACGTCTTGTTATTATATAACTTATATCAGGATATTTTAATTTCAAATCAATCAAAAGATTTCTCAGTGACTGGTTACTGTATAAAATTCCTTAAATGTGTACAATTTTAGAAATTCAGTAACAATTTACAACAAAACTATTATAGTAAAGTACAAGATTTTTCACCTTTTTGAAATGGTAACAATGTTTTATGTCCAACAACTCTCATCTCCAAGATAAAATTATCCATTGTTTTTAATAATTTGTTTTGATTTTCAAGATCCATTCCATAACTTTTTATAAATTTATCTACTGGTATAACTGTGTGTTAAACAGGTCAAACCAGTCATTAAATAGTTGTATTATCCAGGAAGCCTAAATATATATAACAATAATAATGATTCATCCAACAAATACAAATAATTTGAACATTATAGTATAACCTCTAGCCAGTTATTGTAGTCAAGATTTAAATTTTGACCACAATAGGAAATCGCTTTGGCTAATGAATTTGAAAACAATTGTGCCGCTAAACTGACACTCTGCTTTTTAGGTCCTGGTATATTTATATGATTGTTTGTAATTTTATAAGCAAGTCTCAAATCATTTTTATTTAAATTTAATACTTTTTCAACAACTTGCTTTCCAATAAACTTATTCTTGTAATTGTATCCACTTAAAAAATATAATTTATCATTATATTACTAAGGGCTTAGGGCACATGATTATATAACATCACATTATTGTTTGATTTACCTATTTACAAAATGGTTTCTTGCCAATTTTAGCAAATGTGGAACATCTGCGAATATATATATTTTATTCTTTGTTTCAGGATGATCAAAATAAGTTTTATTGATTGATATCCCCAGTGTATTCCATAAACTCACATTTGTTGGACCCATATCACTTACGGTTGAGACAACATTGTAACCACTCTCATGTAATGCAGTAATAATATTAAATAAAATATCCTTTGTCATTCTAGTGTCATACATATAAAATATTGGTTGTCTCCATGATGCTATTAAACCTTTTCAACAAAATGTCATATATATTTTAAAATATAAAATTATAATAATTAAATGAGATTACCTCTTGCTACTACTGTTTGTACACACTTATGTGGACCAATGAATTGTTCTTTTTTTTTATCATAGCATATTTTCTGAGATAAATATGTTTCATCAAATGCCAGTACAGTTATTTTTTCTAAATCTATCATTGAGGAACCTATAATTATAAATATTGTCATGATATTTTATTTTAGAATTAAAATGCTTGTTTTATGTACTCTTATGTTTCATTATGGATAAGACTGAAGATAAAATTCCTTGGTCCATAGGGAATTTTGTCGCCCATCCTCTTAGTGTTGAAAGTCCTTAATTAATAAACAGTCATTTTTACTTATAAACATTTCGAAAAAATCAATAACTAGTTTAATACTTAAAAAATACCTGGCAGTGGATATTTTTTTTCTTCTCTGAGATATCTATAGGCCTTAGGTGACAAACTTCTAAGTGTTATAGCATTGGCTATATCATTTTCTGTCCACTTATATACTTTTTGGTTGGGATATAAAAGTAATTTTATTTGTGTTTCGGTAAACATTCCTGACAACACTTTATTAAATTCAATTTCATTTTTTTCTTTTAATTTATTATTTGGTGTGGAATTAATAATCTCTTTCTGTAATTTAATGGTATTTTGTAATTCTAAATTTAGTTCTTTTTCTTTTTTTAGTTTTAAATGTAGATCCAATACATGTTGTTTAAGGCTGTTTAAATAAAACATAAAAATAAATAGAATTGAATTATACATTAATAATTATTTGTATTTTTTTCATACTTCTCAACTTCATTCAAGTTATCACCACACTGTGTACTAACATCAGTTCTTTCCACTGGAAGTCTATACACCATTCCTATTTCACACTGAATACCAACATCTTGTGTTTCACTTAATAATTGTACTCCAAAATCAGGTAGATCATTTAAACAATTATTTTTATAATTTGAAGTAAATGGATCAATTTTTTCTTTAGGTGCTTTAGAACTTTGAAAACTAGATTGGAATAAACTATCATGTATGGAGTGTGGTGTATGTGTATTTACAGGCTTATATTGAATTGTTGGTTTTTGAATTCTGGGCTGGAATAAAATTATTTAGAAAAGATTTAATTGATTTTTTTTATGTTGAAAAATAATAATAACCAACCAAATTTTTTGATGGTACAGCATTGGGTTTAAGTTTTCGTTGATGTTTAGGAGAATATTCTAACATTCTTTGGATCAATGGTTTTTCATAATCAGATGAATCAAAATGTAATGAGCATACTCGTGCTATAACATTTACATATATATTTTGAGTAAATTAAAATAATTATATACTTAAATAACAAATTAATCTATAGTTATTGTCTTATTGATTACTTTGTATCCATGTAGGTGTATAATATATAACCATATATAAATGTTAATGATTTGTCTAAAAAATAACCCCGAAAACCCCAAAGTTTTTCGCTTTATTAAATGAAACTACCGACTAAATTTCATACTCAATAGCTTCAGCGGTCCGGCTAGTCGATGATGAATCACTCAGGACAAGTCATTATTTTATATATAGAGATTTATATATATTTTATATTTTATCTATTAATATTAAATTGTACGAAGCTATGTCATACATTTTGTATTTTTTTTAAGCAATGACATAATACCAATAATTAGATTAATTTGCAATTTGGTTATTTTTTCGAGGTACCATGTAATATATACACGACAATCCTTAGTTTACTTACCAGAAGAAATTTTAATTTTTTCAGACATAACACTAACTTCAATCCACAATTTTTGCAGATATTCTTCCTTAGGAAAACGATGAAGGATTGGTTTGATTTGGGAAATTGTTGATGTACGACTGCCACTCGTACAATTTTTACTACGCACAACAAACAATGCCAATACCAAACAATGATTATATTATATTAATATTTTCCATTTTTCCATTACTCTACGTTATGAATTATAATCACTATAAATATGCAGCAGTAATAATTATAATATAGTTTATTTATAGAAAATGTTAATTCAATACAATATATTAGAATAATAAGAATTCCCTCCAAATGGTATTTCAAATCGTGGGACCGGCTGACGTCATTTTTCAAGTGATAACAATGAATGCGCGTAACAACTGAATATCGTCAGAGTTGCTGTCATACCATGTTATTTAGCCATGGTCTATACTACTTGTACCAAAACCAGAAGGTTTACCTAGAGACAGCTAGGATTAAGAAAAATAACAACTTTTGAGGTAAATAACGTTCGTATATATTTTCGACTAAGAAAAACAGGTTAAGTGCAAAATACTGTTGCGCGCAAAATAGTGACAAGTCGTCGGACGTCGGGCTGCTCGAGTCGAGAGCGAAAAAGCGAGTGTCGAGAGTGGCGCGCGTTGGCGGCTTCGGGCGCGTAACGGCGAAGTCGCCGCGCGAGGCGGGAGAAAAAATTCGAGCGGCGAGTAGTCCAAAGACGGTACAACATAATTTATAAAATTCACAGAGATAATAAATAAAACGAATACAATATAAAACACATGACGAATACAATATAAAAATGGTAATAAAAAGGCGCGTTAGTGTAAGTGGTGATAACACGTCGGAATCACCACAATATCATAATGTCCCTCAACAACATGATTTAAGATAATACTGGTTGGACGACGAGTAGAGATAACTGATTTTTTGGTGCCTGGCAAACTGAATCGCCATATCAGCAGCTATTTCAGAACTAATGGATGGGGCTCCTAGTGTGCATTTTGTGAACTATGAAATATTTTATACTTATAATTTTTTTAAAGTGTTATTAAACCGTTCTCCGGTTCTCGTTGAAGTACTCAAGACTCAAGTACCTGATTTCAAATTTTTCTGTACCTATTTATTTTATTTTATAATTTATTGTACATATATTATATTAGTACAAAATGTTCTCGTTTGGAGGGCCCATAACCAGTTCTGACACAAGATCCAGATAACAGATTCTGTTTGACGGTGACTTTATCACATTTCGTCGTCTAAACAGTATTATCTTAAATCATGCTCAACAACCGGCTGCTATAGAGAAGGCTGTATTGTAATGCCGTTTTGCGTAATATCCGCAGTAAAGTTTTAAAATTTCAGACTTCAGTATTCAATATTCATTCAAATTTATAATAAATATAATCAAATATGCACTTTATAATATTATAATTTATAATACTATTGAATACTATTGACGTAAAAATAATAACTAAAGTGAAGAATGGAAGGTTTCTCTATTCCTCTCTCGATTGCATTACTTTGTTACCTAATTAGTTAACTTTTTCTTTGTTATTTTTTTCCTTAAAAATAGGATAATAAATCCAACAATTTTAATATATTTTTACAGTTGATTAAACTAAAAAACAACCCAGGGACATACAGATAGGTACGTTGTAGATATGGGGGTAGGTACATTATTTTGTTTTTGTTATTATTATTTTTTGTCTTTCTAGTTATATTTTTACTTATCCCTTTGTTATTAGTTTAATGTGTCAATTATCATGTAATGTTTTTTTTTCTTGTTAAATGGCGTATGTCCGTTGATTATTAATAAATAAATAATTTAGACCACATATTCAAACATTGTATTTGTTACTCTTATTAAAAATATAAAGTTTCTAAGAGATAACTTAGAATGTAAGAACCCTAGAGAACATTTTGATTTAAATGACATAATGCAAACATTAAATTTGTATTAAAAATCAGACTGTTCTTTATTATTGATTTTTTGTATAATTAATTGTATATTTAATTATTTTAGTATTAAGTTATATACCAACTTATATGTATTGTATAGTTTTCTTTTGTCTTAAAAAAAATGTTATATAAAGATCAGTAGAATAATAAAAAAATTTTGTGGACGCAGGCTTCCTCTCGGTGGTCAATGTGTTAAGTTTCGTTAGAGGTATGTTACAGTGCATAATTAAGTATACAAAATATTATTATAATTTAAAACAAAACAATAACTATCGGGTAAGTGTTACTTGTGGTGGATGGAACATGGCTGGTACCAGACTTGCATGCGGGAACAAAACATTTGTTGGGCATATTAATTAGCACAATAAGGAAAATGTTTAAAAATAATAATAGTTTTTATTAGTTTTAGGTAGGTGTGGATGGTTATATTTCTACTATAGGTAGTGTATATAAATAAACAATGTTCATCAATATGTTAATAATATGTATATTATTCAAAACTAATATACTTAAATAGACAATATTGCTTATAAAATATTTTCAAATCGGCCTTCTTAGCTCTTCCTGGTGGACAATTCTGTAACTAAACTGCCGTAAAAATGGTACTCATTTATTTCTCATACGTATGATTGATAGTGACTACACCGTTTTACCTACATCGTGGTTCCAATCATGCCAACTACGCTTAATGCGACCACACACGTTAGTAGAATTGCCCCCCTGAGCGACCTCTGTTATTGTATTGCTCCGTAACAAAATGCGTTGTTCAATTTTTAAATATATATGTATATACTTGTGATAAATCAATTTTTGACAGCTCCGTTACGCTGGCACCCGCATATTAGAAATTTGACCCGAAATCTGCGTCAACCATTGTTATATCATTTGTACAGGTTTGTAACCACAAAATTTTCATTTGTACAACTCCCCCAACACGTCAAAATCCATTTCCAAAACGCGGGTGCCAGCCAGGGATGGAAACCAAAACTAATTTGGGTTTTTGGTTTTTAAAACCAATTTATTTAAATTAACGGTTCGTTCGCCGGTTGAATATCCAAAATAAATATCTGAAATTTTAATTTTGAATTAAAAAATGAGTTATTAACTAAGGTTTTAGTTTAATCACTTATATACCTAGGTGTTAGTGTAACCACTTTTATAAAGGTTTTTGTATTATTTATAATATTGCCTTATAGTGTAATGCAGTATTGTATTATATTTATATATATATATAATATAATATCTTGATATTTAGAGACTCAAAATTATCAACAAGCGTATTATTGTAAGTGTATTGCTTGTATACCTATTATATTTATTATAATAAATAAAATGTAAGTATGTCACATGCCATCATTGTGATAATAATAATATTGTTATCGGTTGTCACTATCTGATTTATTATTTTTACATAAAAAGATATTCTCTACTTTATAAATAGTATTGTTATTTTTGCTCTATTATGACGCGTGATAAGATAATACTGTTTGGTGTTTTGGACGGCTCGCCGAATGTTAATCACTATTATTAATATCTTTATCGTTCAAAAATTTTTAAGGATTTGTGTTTTATCCATGATAATAGCATTGCAACTCTTGCTTAGGATACTCGTCATCATTCGACATCATTGATTTAAATCTTTTTAATTTTTTATCGTGTCATTGATTTGTATGTGGTTGTGGCTGTGTGTTATATGATTATTTAGACTTTTTATATATAAAGTCATTATTTACGTAACTCGTATTATTAAGATTTTGGATAGATTTCATGAGGTAAGTCTATTAAATTATCTATTTAATTTTCCTTGATTATTGTGTGAATATTAACAGTATAATAAATATTTTGTTTTAACTTTATGATAAAGATGGGTCGGAAACCAAAAGTTGATGCATCTATTCTTAAAACTCATATACTTAAGTATCAGACTGAAATTGTAAAATATGACGGTAAAAGTAAGTTATCATTTTATTGATGTCTAGAAAATAAACATAATGAGCAAAGACTAAATTTAGTGGTGATTTCTCATATAGGTACCCATACTACCACGCAATGTTTACTTAGGGTTGCAATACGTCCCGGAAAACCGGGACTGTCACCGGTTTTTGACTTTGTGTCCCAGTGTCCCAAAAAATATTTTCGGGACGCCTATATGTCCCGGTTTTAGGAAAAAATTAAAACAATTGAAATCAAGAGTCAACATTTTAATTTTAAAGATAACGAATAATTGATAAATCCATAAGTTAAATAAAATAATAATATCGGGAATATTCAAGGACAACAAACAAGCCATGTGCGCTATGCACTGTGCAGTTTACATGTTTTATTTTTATATTTTATCGATAATCGATACGGTCATTCGGGTGATACACAGACTAATGTCTTTTACATCAGAATGTCATGAATGTATTGGTTTTACGATGTTTTTTTTTTGTTGTTGTGTCTGTCATCACCTTTTAGGACAGTAAAAATACATGCAATTTCGACTGAATGTTTGTATTATAAGCATTTTCTGCATACCATAAATCTTTTCAAAATATTTTGAATATTTTGAGCTGTTTACGGACATTTTCAGTTAAAAATTTTT